TAAGTAAGTAAGTAAGTAAGTAAGTAAGTAAGTAAGTAAGTAAGTAAATAAGTAAGTAAGTAAGTAAGTAAGTAAGTAAGTAGTAGTTGTTGTTGTTGTACTAGTAGTAGTAGTAGTAGTAGCAGTAGTAGTAGTAGCAGTAGTGGCAGTGGTAGCTATCGTAGTAGTATTAGTTTTGGAAGTAATAATGTAATAGTGATACTAGTAAAGGTCTCTCTTCAAAACAAAAAAGTAGTCGTAGTAGTCGTAAAACCGTAACCGTAAACCTAACCCTAAAAGCCTTACCCTTCAAACGTCGTACTAGTAGTAGTAGTAGTAGTGGTAGGCGGTAGTAGTAGGTAGTAGTAGGTAGTAGTAGGTAGTAGTAGGCGGTAGTAGTAGTAGTAGTCGTCGTAACTGTGATGTTAGCAATCGTAAAAGTAGTCGTACTAGTAGTGGTAGTCTGAGGCATTCTGAGGCTGTGACTTAGCTAAGTCATACCTAAGGACTTATAAGTACTATAGGCGTAGCCAAGTAGGCTAAGTTGAAGCTAAACCTTTCAGAGGTTAGCAAACTTATAAGCAAGGTTATAAGCAGGTTAGGGGTACTTACAACCTAGGTTTTAAGTCAAAGCTAGCCAACCACCGGGGAAGTAGTAATAGTAGTGATAATAGTGTTTTCATACAGTAGTTGTATTAGTAGTCGTAGAACCCCTAATCCGAAAAACCTAACCCTAAAACCTAAACACCTGACCTTAAACCCTTACCCATAAGCTCGCGCCTAGCGCGCGCTGTCCGGGCCAAGCCAGCGCCGCCAGCTAGCGGAGGGGGGCTGGTGTCGATCACCAGCTCCCCGAGCCCTTTGCAACTCAGAGTTGCGCTCGAAGTGGGTACTAACAGTAAAAGAATTACCCTTAACCGTAAGCCCTGGCCCTGTTGGAGGCTTTGGATTTACCCCCCTTTGCCTGGCGTTTACCCCGGCACAGCTGGCCGCGTGCCACATATTCCTTCGCTGCTTCTTGGCCAAGGAAACGCCGCACACGGTCTAGCGCTGCGAAATACACGCTCGGGCTCGCCGCGCAGAACCTTTCCAGGGCCGCTGTGATCCCGTTGGACCGGCCGGCCTCGTTCATTTTCTGCATCTGCTCTCCAGAGCAGAACAAGCACTTGGTTTCGCCCCGTGTCAGTTGCGCGCGGGCAGCCGCGCCATTCCGCGACGGGCAGAAGCAGCATGCCGAGTCCTCCTACCCGTGCATTCCTCCACGGGCCTACAGGCCGGGGACAGCACGAGGTACGCCTCGCGTTCTACTTGTTTACCACGTAGGCGGCATCGCTTTAGCGACGGTCCGCCGCTCACTGTCCGGGCATCTTCTTCCTGCGACCGAAAGAGGGCCGCCAACCCGCTGGCAGGGCTGCGAGCTGCGACTGACAAGAGTCGACTTCCCCAGGGCACAGAAAACATAGGGCTCCTCCACAAACCTGTGGAATTGGCTTCTCACTTTTCCGTTTTAGGATCCGCCGCCGGATCGGTGGCCATCGCATGGATGTAGCGGACAACCTCGTCCTTCACCTTGAAGGAGAGGCTCGGGGAGCTAGCGGAGCCACGCTGCAAAAAGCACACTGCATATAGGAAGTCTCATCGGGCTCAAAGTGTTCCGACACCAGCGAGCCATCTGTGGCAAAAGGAGCCGCCATAATGGTGAGGCCACCCTCGGTCTGGTCGGTGGTACCCGAGGCTGTCCGTCGGCGACGAAGAGTGAAGCCTTTCGGAGAGTTCTTGGGTGATGTTGCTGCGAGGGTTTTCGTATAGGGCGAAGTCTACCATGTTTCTGTTGCTCCCTCAGGAAATGTTGCGCGTTGGGTAACCACACCCAAAACAAACCATATCCACAAGAAAGACAACAATTTCATACCTGTGGGTCTGGTGGTTCTATCTCCGCTATACCGTTACAAAACTTCGATGTGACAAAACACAATCCACTCTATGTCCAGGCAGCGACTTGATCTCTCCGACAAAAATTGTTGCCCTGTCGCGCCGACCGCCTGTGGCTTTGCCGCTGAGGTGGCCAGCGTTCTGCAACATGGCCCGGGACAACCTCCCGGAAGGCTTCTGCGAATCCATCCACTGGCTAGAGCAGCGCATCACGGACCAACTTTGCACAACGCGGCTGCTTCGCTTAGCCACCAGCTGGCCGCCGCTCAAATTTCCATGTACTCCATGTGACCGTCGGTGGCGTTGGCTGCACTGTGGTCTCCTATCAGCTCCTCGCCTTCTCGGGCGCGCACTTTGCCGCGCGCCGGACTCGCTAGACCGTTGGCCGAGAAAATCGAACCGCGCGCCTAGATCCGATGGAAATTGGAATCCAGCTAAACACGACAGGTCACAAGCGCTGCTTTTAAGCCCACGCTCTCACCTCGGCGCGGTGTCTTGCGGTTTTCGGCCCACGCGTCGGGTCTCGCCCGCTTGGCTTGCGCACTACGTAGCTTTCCTCTACGCCTGCCGTCGTTTGTACCTTGGTCGCATTACCGCGTCGTCCCGGCGGAAAAAAAGGTATTGGATTTGAGGATGGATTAATTATACCCTGGTGTAAAAAACCCTAAGCCCATAAAAGGTGCAAGTTTGTGGGTGGGAAACCCTTTGCGAAAGCGGCGCGCCTCCCCTCGACACATCTTGGGGAGGCGCCGCCGCGGTACTGTAAACACCTAAAACCCGAAAACGCCAAGCCAGTACTAGTGGTCACGGTGGTGCCTGGCGGTCGTTTTCGTTGCTGTTGTGGTCGTGGTCATGGTGGTTGGCGTTGATGTCTGGGATATAAATATATATATATATACACAGAGAGAGAGAGAGAGAGCAAAATGCTTTGCCACTGCGGCGGCGACGTCGACCTTGCTTGGGGCCATGTTTGGCCTCCACCATCTGCGCCACCATCCTCTCCACCACCATCTGCGCCACCAGATCTGAGGCGCTGCCCTTGCCGTAGCAGGTCACAAACGCTGTTCTGGCAGAACACACAAATGAACAGTCCTGAGGAGCCCTTATTCGACCAGCATTGCTTAAGCGCGGCCTCGTCCTGGCAGTGACTCTGGGTACTCTGTGGAGGTTGTCATCCAAGCTCCGCCGACTTCAAATCTCCCAAATCTGGAAGATGAAAGCGCACGCGCCGTGCAACTGTGAAGTGGGGCTTCTGAAACAACGTGAGCAGGTGAGTTACGCGGGGCATCCTCCGACAAGAACACTCAGACTGGCTTTCTTCACGGGCCAGTAGGAAAGCTATGAAGAGTGCAAAGGATTCTAAAGCTTCCAAAACATCACAAGGATGCAACTAGCAAGCTACAATACATGCTACAAAGAAATCTGCGCATATTGGACGCACTGGGTATGGCGGCCGTGAGTGAAAAAAGGTTTTGCACTGTACACTGGTTTGATGTGTGCTGTGGATCTATATTGTAATATACAATATATCAAAACGGCTACTAGATGTAATTAGACTCCCTGCTCGATATCACTGTTCGCTGGTGTCTCAGCGGTAGATCTATATAGATCCCTGGTCGTTCCGGCGTGGTCGGTGATCCACACTTGATCGGTCGCTCGGTCGCCAGGATCGGTCACCGGAGATCACCGGAGGTATAGCGAAAGAAAGTGAAACAAACGAAACCGACCAATACCGCTTGCAAATCTGCACGCTGGACTTCAACGTCGGCCCAACAAATACATTATCTACCTCACCGGCATGCTCCTACGCAAGTTGCCCATGGTGAACAAACCAACCACACCGGATCGGTCTCGGTGACCAGAGCTCGAGAGGTCTAGCAAGGGGACGGAAAACGTACCAAACCGACCATACCGGATCGGTCACCAGAGAGGTCTAGCAAAGGAAAGGAAAACAAACCAA